GTCATCTAATTATTCAACGCTGTTTATCTTCAGCTTACCACCCTCAAACCAATGGCCAAATAGAACGCATCAACCAAACCTTAGAACAGTATCTCTGCTGTTCACCATGTATCTCCAGGATGATTGGCTGTCTTTACTTCCCACTGCAGAATTCTCCTACAACAATCACATACATCAGTCCATTTAATGAAATTGGCATTTCTTGAGATGTTTGTTTGTCACATACCAGTTTTCTTAACAAATCGAATCAGAGTGTCTTGCAGCTAAAACTTCATCCGGTAATAACATATGTCATTAACAGTCTTTGTCCAATACAGAGCAATTTTCCAGATGTTATCCATTTTTGTTGTTAAAAGTATTGGCCACAAATTCTAAGCTACGATCAGTTTTATAGGTTTAAAATTTGGTTACATTGGGCGTATTCATCCTTACTTTAAATTAAGTGGCTATCTTAGAAAGAGGGGAGTGACTTAGCATCATTTGAAATCTATGATTAAAGCCAAACGTTATATTTTTGGCGGTAAGCTACACAAAGAACTTCTAACGAACTTCTATATACATGATTAAATGAATAGATGTCTTTCGAAATATGAGCCTTGGTAATACAGAGGGAGACTGGCTAGCAAAGCTTAGGTCAAAGGTTACTATAAACAGGCCCTTCATCTATCACTCTTAAAGTGATCCAGATGTGGTCTCCATTTCTATACAATGAAAGTCTGTAATACTATATGGCTTCTCAATTTCAGTGTTCTGGAAGTAATCTGAATAAAACTTATAATATTTATATCACAAAAACAATTCTACAACACATAAAATATTTATAGTTCATAAAATATTCTTCATCCATCAAGATGACACCATTTTTGGTAACTATGGTCTCCATCCTTGTGCCTTCCCTGAACTGCCTTGCCCTAACACAGTGCCCGATGTAGCCTCACGTCTCAACAAACTCAGACAACAAAGAGGTATGTTGCAACAAACCCTTAAAGTAGAACAACAATGTTACAAAGGATATGCAGACAAAAGAAGGTACCCAGCACCTACCTATGTGCCAGGGGACAAAGTCTGGCTATCCACACAAGATATGCATTTGTCCTGTCCTTCACGGAAACTAGGGCCACGCTACATTGGTCCCTTCACTGTAACCAAGGTCATATGTCTTGTAGCTGTCCATCTCGATCTTCCCTCTACCTATCGGTTACATCCGGTTTTTCATGTATCCCTCCTAAAACCATGGAAACCCAACTGATTCGCTTCTCGTAATGTTGCCCCACCTGCTCCAGTGGTTGTTGATGGCTCTAATGAATATGAGGTTCAGGAGATTCTCGACTCCAGACGTCGTAAGGGTGTCTTAGAATATCTCATCCACAGGAAGGGTTATGGCCCAGAGGAATGATCTTGGTCGACCAACCCTATTTTGCGCCCTGAGGTCGCGTCTAGGGAGGTGGCTCTGTCATGGCACAGCTAGGTACTCACCTGCCCCTGGGCACCCACACCGCCCTCACGGCAGAATCACAGTTCTCACTGCTCCTGAGAGCTCCTCTTCTGGGTCTGCAGCAGTTCCTTCTATCCCTCTCATCGCCGAGGTCTGCGGCGAGCATGCTGTCAAGGCAAGATGGCGGCCACCATGCGGACCCAGCGTTCTGCACAGGGAGCAGGAGAGTTGCAGATCCATTGGGGAGGAACAGGTCAGGGACCAGAGAATAAAACAAGATGGCGCTGAGTCCCTGACCTCTTTATATAACATCTGTGTGCCCCACCTACTGGTGGGAGGTGGCCAGTCATGTGATCCCAGCTACCTATTTAAACCCAGC